GGTCGCAAGTGCTGAACCGCCCCACTCCCAAACTACTGCTGAAAGGAGGGGGTAGCTTCAAAAACATGGGCAAGCACTTTATTCTAGCACGGTGCTCTCTGCCCTGCCTGATTCTGAACTTTGTGACTCCACTCTGAGAATAGAATATCCTCTTAGCCACGACAGGGATGAAAAAACTATTTTTAAGCACTTTGTGCGTATGCCATTCACTTGGCACTTGAGTTTTCTCCTCGACGCACATGTCTTTCTTAACTAAGCCACAGAAACTGAGAACAGGGGCTATAGTTACCAAGTGGCAACTGCAGCACCTTATTCATATAAGCACAAGGTTTGACCGTTGAATCCTGACAGTGCTGCATCAACATCTTCTGAATATGCTCTTTTCCTCTGGCAGAGTCTCTCTTTCAGAATGAATGTGAGATCTGGCCAATTTAGGGACTGGAAAAGTTTTGGCTCTAGTCCTTCTTGCCTGGTCAAGGTTTTTAACCAACTCCGCCATTTCCTCCAATGCTATTCGAGAATAATACTTACCATTAGCTGCTGGTAAGTTTTTAGTACAGCATATAGCACTACACCCCAAGGCTGTAAGTTTGTAAACTATATTAAACAAAATAAGCTCTCATTATCTAATAAAAACAATTTTCTTGGGCGTTAGACAACACTGTTCTTTTTTTTTTGCGGTACGCGGGCCTCTCACTGTTGTGGCCTCTCCCGTTGCGGAGCACAGGCTCCGGACACGCAGGCTCAGCAGCCATGGCTCATGGGCCCAGCCACTCCGTGGCATGTGGGATCCTCCACGGACTGGGGCACGAACCCATGTCCCCTGCATCGGCAGGCGGACTCTCAACCACTGCGCCACCAGGGAAGCCCGACGACCCTGTTCTTAAATTTAATACCTACACTGTTCTTTAGGAAAAGTTGATTCAAGAATTTCTAACTTCCTCTAAACTGTTCTACTTGGTAAAACTCTGTTCCTCTGCAGAAAGGGTTAACATTTTAAATATTGGGTAAATGCATAACTATTACCTATTTTACCTGACTTTAATGTGTTGGAATCACAGTATGCAAAGCACCATTTCAAAAAATAAAACAATCTGAAGTGAGTTCCCTATACTTACAGATACATACTAAACAGACAAAATGAAATATTCATAGCTTACACAGAAATAGAATCATACTTTTGCTACCTGCTTATTCATTTCTGTGATGTTTATCCAGACTTTGTTCAATCCCAGCTCTCCAGATTCAATCTTCTCAAGTTGTTTCTGTTTGCTGAGTAGTTCTTCGTTAAGTTTGGGAATTTCTTGGAATGAGCTTTTCTGATTAGATTCCACTGAAAGCAAAAATAATAATAATAATAAATAGCCATAAAGTTCCCTCATGGCTCCAAGATGAAAAAATGATCCTACAGCAGGAAAGGAGATAGATTAATGAAAGTTAATTCTGGGAGGATAATGACAATTCATATCTATCAACTCCACTATTCTTTTATTTACATAAATGTATATCTTTAACACTAAAGCTCCATTTAACTGGGGCTATTTCACTACTGGCAATACAACTTTTTAAAGTCAGGTGGCTAAAAATGATAACAAACAACATCAGCAGAAAGAGTTAGATTTGAATTTCAACTCTGTAACTTACTGGGATTTTGAGCAAACTTACTCAAATTTTTTGAGCTTAGTTTCTTCATCTGTAATACAGTGATAATTCTAACCACCCTGTGAAGTATATTTTAAGTGAAAGAATGGCTGTAAAGCACTACACACAGCTGGTCAGGCATACAATACGTGATAAATAAATGTTAAGTACTGACCTGCTCAATTAAGAAGCTTTCTGACTGGTCAATGAAGATTTATAAACCTTACTCCATTAATGCTCAAGGTGACATCCTAAGTTATATCTCTAAATGTTTAAATCTATTTTTTTTCTATCTCAAATTGATCAAGCGCAAGATAGATTCTTACCACCTTTCAAGTACTATTATGAGAGCGAAGATTTTAAATCTTTTTCATAAACAGCAAATAGTGTTTTCTTAAATCAACCCAAAAGCTCAAAGTGAAACAGAAGATAAAGAAAAATGTTAGGTGACGCATAGGGTATTTTTTGGCCTTTCTTTTGGGAAACAACATCTCATGGATGGTTTAGAGATTTGCCAGCCTGCAGGTAGAGGCCTGAAAGAGTGCTTTCTCTTCTTTCTTTAGAGTATTCTTTCCTTCTCATGGAAAATAAAATACTGACTGATAGTGGTTGGTCCTCTAGAATAAAACCTATGTCTTTCTTTTAAAGCCACAGACGGCCTGATTAGTTATCATATGCTTTCTTTAAAACCAAAAACTGGCATAATGGACAGATAAAAAATAATTCACTAAAATGTAAGTTCCCAGACTTTTTTTGTTCATTTCTGTATAGCTGGCATTTAGAATATACCTGGCACACTTCAGGCACTCAGTAAGTATTAGAGACTGAATAAATCTGGCCTTTGCTTACCTCCCAACCATATTTCTCGTCACTTTAGCTACCACTTCAATCTACTTTCTAGCGAAGCTGATTTTCCTGACACACCAACCTCTTCAAGCCTCAGTGACTGCACACACTATTCTCTCTGCCTAGATGCCCTTGGCTTGCCCCTTCTTCATTTCTGCCACCTTAGCCTAGTTAATTCCTTTCAAGATTCAGCACAAAGAGCTGGCCCCCACCTTGGACCACCGTTACCTCTTTACCACTCCAAACTCTCCTGAGCACTGAACACACTGTGCTATACTTATTTACTTGTCAGTCCCCTCCATCAGACTGTCAGAGAGCTGCCTGAGGACAGGTCTTATTGGGTCCTGTATTCCCAGGGCCCAGCACAGTCCCATGTACACAGAAGCACGCAAATGCCTATCCAGTGAAATGACTGTATGGTATAAAATGGAGTTAATGTTACCCTATTAAGTTAAACAAAGAAAACTCAACAAATAAATAAATTCAACAACAAAAAAATCCCCCCCAAAATCAGGGGGTGGCGGTGGTATCCTCACTGTAAGCAAACCCACTACCTGAAAATTCAGAACTATTAAAAGAAATTAGATATTTTTATTCACTTTTCAAAAATATGTGAATGATTTCTTTAAAAATAGCAGACTTGGCTAAGTGCTTTTAATGTGACATTTGATCTGCACACAGTTTGCAGGAATACATTCATCTCATATGGCAGGAATATTTTACCAGTCAGTCGAAATTAATGTAGCACTTATAGCACCCAACTGAATTTCGTATACATATTCAGTTAGGTTATAAAGAAAAACTTATCCCATACACGTCTGCCATTCTCTGGTGGTAAAACATCCTAAGGCTGGGGGTGAGTTTCTTTTTTTTCCCTGCAATCTATATGAATTAAGTAGAGGAGGAAGTAAGACAGACACATAAATAACTTGGATTAAAATTATTAACTAATAAACATGTGAGTCTGACAAGCCCTGAAAACACTCTGGATCCTGAGGATTGTATGAGCTAAGAGGGGATTATATTTATGATCTGATTTGGGGTTTTTTAGGAGAGATAAGACGAGTAAAGGCACCCTGATTACATAAATGGAATGAAGTATAGTAAGCAAACAACTTATGATTTTACTAATTCATGTTCTTTCAACATGGAAAGCAACTTATTTAAAATTTACTATAGTAATACTCAAAAGAACTTACTTAGCTCTTTTCCTGATCAGGAAATGGAGATTTTTGCCTACACCCTTTAGATACAACATATAATGCCAACAATACTTTATAATTATACATCCTTATAATTTGCAATAAACTTCTATGTAATTACTCATCTTGTGATCAAGCCCCTACTATGTGCCCGGCCCTGTACTTGGCACTAGTGCATACAAAAGACCCTGAAGCTCTCAGTCTAGTGGGGAGCAAGGCGTCGCCCCAGAATTACTATACAGTATGACAGATGTTATGACAGAGCAATGCCCAAAGTGCTTTCGTAGCACAAATACATCTTTACATATTACGGATGGGAAAATGAGGCTCAGAAAGAATAAGTGACTTGCCTATGTTTCATAGCTAGTAATGAGCAAGTCAGAATTCGACAGTCAAACCTTGTGCTCCTAAGACCGATACTCTTTCTAGTATACTTCAGCCGTCACAGATGCTTATAGCCTAACAAGACCATTTTTAAGTTCTGCACTGAATGACCAAACTGCTACTCTCCCTGTATGACCAGCAATGAAGATGTCTGATTTATCAATACTGTCCTTTTCTTCCAAATTCTTTCCCCTCACTTTAGCCTTGAACAATAGGGAAGATTGCTTGGGAATAGAATCTTCTTTATAATAACTGTGGAGGTCTTCTGGAGTACCTGCTTCTAGAAGAAGAATACTGAGCTGAGAGTTTCAGGCCAGCCAGCAGTTCAAGCTTAAGGATCAAGTTACTCCTTGGCCTCAAGGGAAAAATACCAAGCCTATCTGCTTTGCTTTCTGTTCCAGATATTTCAGCAATCCTGCCTCCTTTCCTCACAAGTGTCTTGGAAGATAATGAGATAAAGGACAAGGGGCTCTGAATTTTTCAAAAAGGTATTTAAACCAGGTCAGCAGGTGGTCTTATTTCCACTTGTCCTCTTGAAAAACAAGAAATAAAAATAAACTTATTGAAATATATTGAAAGTAGAAGCATAATTCAAAGGAAGACAATTTAAGTTTAACAAGATTAACATAATTTAGCCAAGAAAATGGTTTTCACAAAACAAACTCTTGCCAAGTAGTCCACAATGGTTCAGCCTGCGGATTGATTTATGCCCCAGGCCCTACCCCGTCCTCCTTCAGGAAGTCCTGCTTTAGACTGTATAGGTGCTGGTGTATCTATTGCAGCAAACCAAAGCCCACAGAGCAGCTGGACTGACAATCCCAAATCTGCTTCATTCAACTGGCTGACAAATGCAGTCAGGGTCCCGGGGAAGGCTACTCAGTGATAGAAAGTAGGTCTCACAGTCCAGGGTACAACTCCTGGCATCTCCTGAACAGAGTATTTCCAGGTATTAACATGTGCTCAATAAATATTTGTATTAACATGTGCTCAATAAATATTTGTTGCCTGATCGACTGTCAGGTCTATTACATGTATACACTTCAAATATGCATTTCTTTTTTTTTTTTTTTTTTTTTTGGGGTACGCGGGCCTCTCACCGCTGCTGCCTCTCCGGTTGCGAAGCACAGGCTCCAGACGCGCAGGCTCTGCGGTCATGCCTCACGGGCCCAGCTGCTCCATGGCACGTGGGATCCTCCCAGACCGGGGCACGAACCCGTGTCCCCTGCATTGGCAGGCGGACTCTCAACCACTGCGCCACCAGGGAAGCCCAAATATGCATTTCTAAACAAAGAAATTTCCTGAAAATGAAAAGCTCAGCTAAGGTACAAATTACACTGGTGTTCTAAAAACACAGGCACAGAGCAATCAGAGAAATGAATCCCTGGAAGGCAGAACTGAGCAATGTTTTGAAATGTATAAATAAATAATTGCTATATGTAACCAAAACAAGCTGTAGTACAAACGGAGGAGGCCCAACTAGTTACGGAGAGATGATGGCACAGACAGGTGTTGTCAGTGGTTATTTATAGTTAAAACACTGCTTCTCAGAACCTCATTTCCAAGTTATGATTACTACTTACCAAGAAAACACTGGCCTTAAAAACACCTTGTAATACTGCTAAGGACAACATTCAGGAGGGAAAATAACTAGAGTACAGATCTCATTTTTACACTGTACTCTGATCCCACCAATTGATAAAACATATAGGTCAGGATGATCCTGGCAGAGAACTGTGGCCTACCCAATCCCATTCCCTGAATCACAAGCTCAGAAGAAAACCAAAGTTAGTATTTCAATATATTTTTTTCAAGCAACATCACTAGGAACGTCATTAACATACTCACTAAGGATTAGCTGTCCCTAGGTCAGGTTTGGAACTTAACTAACTGCAGGCAGCAAAGAGAAGCTGGGGTGAAGGAAAGCTAGGATGTTGTGATCTCCTATGGCTTAAGAGAGGAAGTAAGGAAACAACTCTAATTCTAGTTCTGGGGCCAGATGTCTTTAGGACTTTGAGAAAGCCTGGTGGTCAGTTTCCTGGTGTGTTAAAGCTGCTAAAGTTAGGGTATTTTTGATTAACCTGAAACTGCTTCCTTAGCTTAGAAATTTTTTTTTAAATTAATTTTATTATTTATTACAAAATTCAGGTTGTAATTGTAGCTATGCACTAATTGTTAGTTAAAACAAAGACTGAGTAAAGCATCTTTTGGGTATAACTTTACTTTCTTTTTTTTTGTACATTGTTTTTGTTGTTGTTTTTTTAAAAATTTTTACTATCTTTAGAAAATTAACCCTTGAAACCTAGAACTAAACATCTCAGTGTTGCTAAAGGAAGATCTTTAGGTTAAAACAGGTTGAAGCTGCCATGCAAACACGCCTTCCAGAAAAAGTACTTTGGATGCGCAAAATACAACTTGACAATTTTGAATACATAAAACTCTTCCAAGTTTCTTAAACTTTAAAACACTCATGAGACAAATATTTATTTCTGACTTGGCATACAGTAAGCACTCCATACGTGCTGGCTATCATTATTACTGCTCAGTCCTATGTTTCTATATGTTTTTCTTAAGGAGGAAACTGTCTGATAGACACTCCCACATGCTTTCTCAAATGTCCCTGTGAGGAGGAAGGAAACAGCCTAGTGTTGCTATTGCCACTTTATAGTTGGGGAATATGAAGTGGCAACAGGTGGAGTTTAACCAAGATTCTAGACTTCTGGATCTTAGCCCTTGCCTTCTGCACTGTAAGTGTTGACTCTGCAATACCATTAGTTCAGATGCTATTTGTCCTAGTGGTGCATAAGCACTGTTTTTTGTTTGGGGATTTAAAAATGAGTAACTGTTACTGCCTTCAAGCTGACAGCTAAGAAAGAGTTTAAAAATGCTGACAGGGGCTTCCCTGGTGGTGCAGTGGTTGAGAGTCCGCCTGCCGATGCAGGGGACGCGGGGTCGTGCCCCAGTCCGGGAAGATCCCACATGCCGCGGAGTGGCTGGGCCCGTGAGCCATGGCCGCTGAGCCTGCGCGTCCGGAGCCTGTGCTCCGCAACGGGAGAGGCCACAACAGTGAGAGGCCCGCGTACCGGAAAAAAAAAAAAAAAAAAATGCTGACAGGAACATATAATTGCTTCATCAGAGTGAGCAAAAATCTTAATTCAGTGTGGTTCCCTTTGTCCTAGAACCTGGAAAAAGAGTCCAAAATTATACTCTGAAAAGGGTGACCACTTACTTGTTCTAAATTTTTCCTTGAGGGCATCCAGATCCTCCTTCAGAGCAACTTGCATCCACACCAAGCCAACGCAGGCCACGACACAGGCGGCAAGGATGACAAAAGCACAGAGGGGATAACAGATCTTGCAGCATCGTAAATAGTCTCCCCTGATCATAAGAACAAATTCAACCAGGAGTACAAAAGAGATTTGAATACAGCTTTATTCAAAATAGCACGTTTCGCCATGCAATTATAATCTCTAATGAATACCAGTTAATTCACCAGGGAACACAGGGGTAACACACTTAAATCTGAACAGCAGGTTGAATATGTCTAAATAATATGACCTATAAAGAGTTCATCTACAGGGGACAAAGGTTTCAAACTCCACATGAAACAGAGGGAGTTCCTGTGAGCTACAGGAAGCACCTGTGGGCACTGCAGCTCACTGCCATCATCAATTCATCATCAGTTTCTTTGGAAACTGGCTCAGGTTAGGGAAGTGTAAAGACCAGAGCTTCTCTGCCATTCCATCACTGTACTGTAATTCACTTATCTATTTCTCTCTCTTAAATACATACTCATTCCAGAGGACCTCGTTTCAGTTTACTGAAACTTCATAAACTTCTGAGTGAGTTTTACTCCAAATAGAATGAAAAAAAGTAGACAGTGGGTTTAAGTGGACACCTGGTACACTCCAGCTTATTGGCTCAGAAGTAAGGGAAACATAGAAAGGGGTCAGATTTCACACCAAACTTCAACCAGCACTCAAGGTCTAAACTAACCCAACAGGACAACTATTCGAGTTAACTATTTCACTTCATCAGATCTTCACAGCCCAAACCCAGGATTTCCCTGAACTACCTCACCTGGCAAAGAAACCAATCTCTTCCTTTAACATAAAAGGACACAGACATTCTAAACAAACAAACCTCAAAGGATTCAATCTCTTTTCTTTTAGCATCCCAACCTTCTGCCTAGCTCTTGCTTCCACAACCTCAGCAGCATACTCTTCTTTTAACGTGCTCCTTAAGAGAGTCCAAGGGCACCTTCAAGGTTCCCTTCAGCCCTTTCCTACCGTAACCCCCAATTCGCAATGTCTTTGTGCTCACTACTGGATTTGTCTAGTGGCTGCACCATCTAAAAGTGGTTTGAGAAAACCTGCTTCTTTTTGTTTCCCACCCGTCATTTCTCTCAAGGCTCATGCTTTTTACAGAATGTCCTTCACCATATTCCCCCATCACCAAGATTCAGACCCATCAAGAGTGCAAAAAAAACAGAAACAAAATAACCCTCAACAACCCCCCCCCTCCGAAAACAAGAACCAAAAAAATCCAACCAACCTAACAAAAAAACCTGCAGTCCTAAGGTCCCTGTCTCTCCTATACTTAACAAAAGGTCTAGTCCCCCAAATTTCTCTGTTCTTAGTTCCCTATTCTTAGCTTCTTTGCTACTCCCCCCTTGGTGTCTCTGGGCTCTTAGCACATTCCCCAAGTCCACCCTTCCACCCCAGATTCAGAGCTCTTCTTTGTATACTCAGAGATAGATCTCTAATTTATCCTTCATTCAGAAACTGAACTCATCTTCTCCCTAACATTCTTCCTCCCTCTGTGCCAAGGTCTACACACTTTTTTCTTCCTAAGAACTCCCTTCTCCTTCCCTTTAATTTGCCTCCTTGGTAGTGCAAGGAGATGCCTTTTCCCCATCCCACCCCTGAGTACTGCATTACTCACTTGACAAAGCGAGAGCGATTTCCAGCTACACCAAATTCCTCTTCCTCCTCTGAGCTGGACTCAGAGTCTGAGTCAGGAGGCTCAGTGCGAAGCAGGCGGTGGCCTGAGCCTTTCTTGGGCTTCTTTCTCCGGCTGTCCCCAGCCAAGCCGATCAGTGCATTGAGCTCTTTGCGCTTTTTCATCTTCTTGTGTGGGGTAAGTGGAGCACCCACTCCTGAGCTGCCAGGTTCGTACCCGAAGCCCACTTCTCTCGAGGCCTTGGAGCCGCCTTCCAGGTTGAGGAATCCTGGGCCAGAGCCCCTCTGGTCAGTCCCACCCAGGAGTGGGACTGACCAGATCCGCTGGGGGCTGGAGATTGGAGCCCAGAGGAAACTGTAACTCAGATGGGTAGGGGAAGTCACATAAAGATGGCTAGGGAGCTGGTGATCCAAATGGATAAAGCCCTAGGCATGCACTGTCAGTTACCGAAGGGGGTGTTGGACGTGGAGGAGGGGGGAACCTTTGTCTCCCAAAGAGAATAAAAAGTCAAGTCAAGAGATTCTCAGACCTGGTCAGTTTATAGTATTTCTAAGGGTGCTCCAGGAGCTGGGGAAGGACACAGATGGGTGTTTTGGACCTTCCGGGGTAGAATTTCCAATGCAGAGAAAAAAAGAAACTTGTTCTTCAATGGGAGGAGAGGGGGAGATGCAGAGCGAGACGATAGGAAGGCGCTGTTCCCTCCCTAGCTGGCAGCAGGAGGAGGCTCCCAGCCGCTACAACCCCGACAGAGAAAATGCCCGAGTCTGAGATGATCACCGTCCTCCGGCCTCCGGCCTGAGTTTGAAGGAAGCCAGGGGCCGAGGAAGACCCAGAGCCCGGCCTGGAGGGCTTGGCCTGAGAGGAGCCAGTCCCGCGCCTGGGCAGACCCCAGCCCTGCTGTCTGGGCCTGGGGGCGCGGTGAGGCGGGGCGACGGCGGCTCAGCCCACCTGAAGCGCTCCCACCCAGAGTTCGAGGTGTTCCGGCACGGGCGACTCTCGGCAACTCACATGCGCCGCCTCCACTCCAGCCGCGACTCCGGCCCCCGCTCCGGCTGGGGCCGCACCTGCTCCC